GGAGATTGCACACCTTTTAAAGCCATTCCCTGTGTTTAGTGTACACGCCGCACAACATGTTTGGAATCGACAGGAGCAACGTTTGACTTACGAACACATCGACTTACGAACAGACCTACGGAACCGAACTCGTTCATAAGTAGAGGAGTCTCTGTACTACTATTAAAAATTATACAGGTATAGGAACAACAGTTCCATATTGCCCACCAGGGATTATTTGTCTGTCGTGCATAGCCCCTCCCAAACATGTAGTACGCTCCCGGATTGGTCGAAGTGCGTCACGTGACCGCGAGCTTTCTGTCGTGCACGAATGCGCTGTCCAACCAACAAGTTCCTACCGGCGCACTCCGAAGGAACGTGTTCTATGCCTCGAGTTTCCTGGCTGGCTACTGATTGGGCTCCTCGCCACCCCATCGATAATTCGATTGTTAGTGGCTGCTACGGGCCGCCACCGAACACGTGGCAGTAAGGAATACACAAGACTGACATCTTCTTTGGTTCTTTCGGTAAAGTCACGTAGAATGGAAATAATAAAATAATAAAAATAAAATATAAACCCCTCGCCAAACCTCCTACGCATTTCACAAGTAGTACTAATCGCATATCTGCATTTCCAATAAATATGCTAAATTCCTCTTGATATGCTAATTATTTTGTCAAGGCGCTCTTCGCCCCTCCATCCCAGTATAAATAGTCGCTCCAAGCCTGGGGCTTGTCATTCAGACTCTGTCTTCTCGACAGACCTGTTCTCCACCTGAGGACGGCTGCTTGCGTTGTGGCCGAAACGTCGTGAGAATAATTTTATTATGTTTTATTTTTATTATTTAATGTTTATTATTTTATTATTTTCATTCTACGTGACTTTACCGAAAGAACCAAAGAAGATGAATCCCTGCAGTCACGAAAGCTTTAAATCGAAATTTAAGACTGACATCGTTCATTTAAATTGCTCTAATGTTCCAATGTGTACTCCTATGAATGTGATTCTTCCGCCAGAATATTCGTTAAATCCTAGAGAATATTAATACAAATTTCCAAGCGAAAAGCGGATTACTTACAGCGCTCCGAGTGCATGATTGTGAGAATAGTATGACTATGACAGCCGTCTCTTATTTTCCGTTGCAGAGCAAGGGTATCTATATTTACATATATGTTCACAATAAATGATATTTACGTAATATTTGGTATTTTAGACTGTATCATTGAGGCAGGTGTATAATATACCTGCCAATAAACTGCCGGATGAGTGCCTCCCCATAATGTCACCCACGTGAATTGCATGAACATATACTGCACCGTTCACAGATATCTCTCGTCACCGATGTAATCCGTGGGCAGAAATCAAACTAAGATCACTGGGGTTTGTCCCGCAGTGCGCAACTCATTGTGTACGTACGCATTTAAACTTCTTTCGCACCGTACATAGTCAAACCGTGCTCATCGTAGGTGCAACTTTTCCTTCTCGGCTCTGATACAGAACTGCAATTGGAACCCCCCTCCCCAGCCTTACAATGATTTGACGTTAATAAAGAATATTACTTAATGCGCTGGCTGCCGCCTTGGCGTGATTTAATATAGTTGCAGGACAGAAAGTCATCTTTCGTTGATATAGTCATGACAAGGCAATTCTGTATTGAATAGCAAGGACGATACGAGCTAACATAAGTTGCTTTAAGAAAAAAACCCTAATTAATTTTACATGAATTAAATCGGTAGCATGGATAGCAAAAGGGTCATGCCATGTGGCGCAAGTGACAGAAAAAAAGGGAGTGACCTACATTGCGACGTGAGCGGTCGAAATAATGTACATTTCCATGTATGTAGATCAGCGTTCACACCTGGACATTCTTATGAATATTTCTCCCATAAACTAACCAACGCGGTGCTTAGTGTACTGGTGTACTCATGCGTCTGCACGTTTACGCAGACCACGATGTCTCGACGATGTCCCATCTCAAAACACAAATGGGTTGATCTTCTTGGATCTTTCGGTAAGGTCACGTAGAATGGAAATAATACAATAATAAAAATAAAACATAATAAAATAATTCTCACGACGTTTCGGCCACAACGCAAGCAGCCGTCCTAAGGTGAGTGGGTTGATGAACATCGACTCACCGTTTACGACTCCATTGGAAGTGATGTCCCACCTGAAGATAAACCGCTTGATTCACGCGTTTGGTAGAAAGGCAGTTCCGCCCAGTACTCGGTGTATAAATTGCCACAATGGCTCAATTGCCACCATTTCTCGACCGATTTTGGGCAATAGTTCCACAAGAGTCAGTCCTCTGCAGGACATCGCGCGCAAGCGAGCGGGCACTTGTCGCTGAACGCACTCGAGTGAGGCGGTGCAATGCAATGCGCGCGGCCGTGTGCGTGTGCACCCTGATCATTTCTGAGCAACGATTTGATGTCCTCGACACAGTGGCGCTGTCTTTCTGTTCGTCGTCATTCTTTGGAGGAGCGTGGTCAGCCAGGTGGCGTGTTGGCTGTTGTGTCGGCCGGCTCTCTGTGTTGTGTTGCATTGTGTTTCTAAGTTTACTAGGGTTAAATTTCGATTTAAAGCTTTCGTGACTGCAGGGATTCATCTTCTTGGTTCTTTCGGTAAAGTCACGTCGAAGGGAAGTAATAAAATAATAAAAATAAAACATAATAAAATAATTCTCACGACGTTTCGGCCACAACGCAAGCAGCCGTCCTCAGGTGAAGAAATAGGTCAGACGCTGTCTTCTCGACAGACCTGTTTCTTCACCTGAGGACGGCTGCTTGCGTTGTGGCCGAAACGTCGTGATAATTATTTTATTATGTTTTATTTTTATTATTTTATTACTTCCCTTCTACGTGACTTTACCGAAAGAACCGAGAAGATTTACTAGGTTTGTTTTTATCTCATTCATTTTTACCTGACGATGGTTGCTTGTGTTGCAATCGAAACGTCGTATTCTATTATTATTTTATTTTCTACGTGACTTTACCGAAAGAACCGAAGAGTAATTCGTGCAGTCACGAAAGCTTCGAAGCTAGTATGGAAGCAAACATACCAAAATCAATCCCTGAGATGGTTTTCAGAGAACGCATTCACTGTGTTCAGTTTCCACGTTGTATGAAAGCACCGTTCTAGAAGTCTCACATTCAGGCGCAATTAAATATAACGGGGTCCAGATGTCTTGTGCCCCCAATTTAATTGATCTCGGCAAACCCCTGCGCATTGCTCCTCTCGCGTACAAGGTCTCCCAGTCCTTTTTTTTGGTGGTCAAAAGAATCCTGTGGAAAACGAGCTCATGTTCCAATCGCAGTATTGTCCATTTTGGTGGAGCCTCTTTGCTAATTCATTCACAAAAATCCTTTCGAGCATCTTTCATAGTCTTTTGCAGTTGCGTGATGTTTCGTGGGGCCCATACGCTCAGTACAAGCCGTTCTTCAATAGTATAGCACGGTTGGATGTGTACGGGGCGAAATAAGTTTAACATACATACAAACTCGTATCAAACCTCTTGTGACCCCAAGATGTATTGGGGGTCACAATGCATCTGGACCACCCTGTACATTGTCCCTTATATAAATCTCTGTCCCACAATTATTATACCGTCATTGATCACGGTAAAGATATATTTGCCTGTAGTGTCGAGCGCTCCCAGGTGGATAACCTACGGATTACATGTATCTGCATTGTTACAGGTAGGGCTAAATTTCAGCCGAAGGCTTTCTGGGTTGTTGACCCGGGAAATATTTCGGCATCGGTCCCACCACATCTAAACTAAAATTAAACTTTAGACTATTTTTATTTTACCAGGTAAGACCCACTAAGCTATGTAGCTCTTTTTTAGAAGCGACCTGGCCACAAATGATAGCTCAACGAACTGGCTTATCACGTGGAAATTTATAGCAGCCCAAATACTCCAAACGCATGTTTCGACAAACCGGAGGACCCGGAGAAAAATCCGCGCGACCACGAGGAGAGAGATACCGAAAAATCCAAATATACAGGCGTCAGGGTAGGGATCGAACCCACGACCCTCCTGTATACCGGGCGATGTAGTTAACTTCTCTCCACCGCAGCGCTTAATTGTCGCGTGCTATGGCGGTCCTGTTGCCTGGCCAACTGAAGTCTTCTCATCAGTGACCTCGACAATATTCAGTGATACATTTAGCCCTGCGTAGAGGTAAACATTTCAAATTATTAAAAATAAATCATATTTGATGGGTCGTGAAAGATAGAGTCAAGGTGTACGTAAAATATTAATTGAAAACTTGCAGTTTATAAATACTGCATACATTTTAACTATTATGACAACTATTTATTGCACCAAAAATTACTCTAATATGCCCTTTCAATTAGCACTCTTCTACAAAGTTGGTCTGTTGTTTTGAATTAACTTTTTGTTCGATACAAACTATGGCAAATACTTTTGCATGCATTCATCTTTGCATTAAATCACATGCATTAATGCTTCCTTGCATGCATTCAGAATTGCGTTCATTCAGTCACGTAATTCATTCCTCTGAAATTATTTAAGTTATTTACAATTGTATGCATTCAATCGTTACGTTCATTCACATCCTCGCATTTATTCACTCATGAAAATTCACCCATCATTGCATTCTTCCGTATTCGCTGTCATTCAATTATGACGTTCATTAATGCACCCTTACATGAATTCGTCCTGGCATGCATGCGTTCATCCTTGCATTCATTCAATTCATCAACACATCCATAATTGCATTGCCCCTGACATTCTTTAATTCAATTATGACGTTCATTAAATGCACCCTTGCATTAATGCACCCTTGCATGCATTCGCCCACGCATTCGTTCAACCAAACCAGGCTGCTCATTCATTCGTCCTTGCATTCATTCCGTCTTGCGCTCACGCAAACACAACGCATGCAAAATCTATCCGTTCATCTGTGCCATTGACCCAAAAAAAAGAGCCACGGGGGGGGTGGATGCTCGTGTAGCGGCGCTGTCGAGCCCAGACACGCCGAGCTCTTCCGGGGCACGCGGAGCCAGGCAGACCGGCCAGGCTGCGAGCCTCCCCGTCGATTCGCACCCCCCCCCCCTCGACCAGCTGCTGCTGGTGCCATGCTGGGCCCGCTTGTGACCTCGAGGCGGTGACACAAAGTGAGAGAGCGGGTTGTGAGCTCAGCGGTCCACAGCCCTGCGTGACTGACAGCTGATCTGCTGCTGCTGCCCGCTGTGCCAGGCTCGCGTGCCTTGCTGCCTGCTGGTGTGGATGTCGCTGCAGGCTGCTGCTGATGATGCTGCTGCTGATGCTGATGACGACTGCCGATCGTGCAATTGCACCGCTCCTCGCTCCCCGTGCATTGATGATAATGATGATAATGTTGTTGTTGTTTGCACGATGCCGTGAGCCGGTGTTGTTGCCGTTTCTTATCGGAGCACATGTTGATGCTATTCTTCGGTCGGCTGTCGGACCGAGGTGCTGTGGTTGCTGTTGTCCATGTTACGGAGCGAGATGATTTTTTTTTTGCTGCTGTGGGTCCGTTATTTGTTGCTATGATTTCCGCGCTGTTGCAGCCGCTAAAGTGCGAGAATAAATCGTGCTCGCTCAACATTGGGCCGTGGTATGGATGTCCAAGCTCCCGCCACGGGAATGTACAGTTTCCACATGCGACTTGGAACCCTCAGTGGCAATGCTCGTGCGATGTGCGTACACGTGCAGTGCCGTTACAGGTTTGGTCTGAATGTGGATGATTCACGTCGATGTTGCTTGTCCGCCTTGTCCTTTCGACTTAAAACTTTCGTGACTGCAGGAATTCATATTCTATGGCTCTTGCGGTAAAGTCACGTAGGTAGAAAATAAAATAAAAATAATATTTAATAAAAATAATATTTTATAACAAATATTATTTTACTTTTTCGGTAAAGTCACGGAGATAAAAAATAATATTTAATAACAAATAGTATTTTTCTTTTTCGGTAAAGTCACGTAGGTAGAAAATAAAAACAAAATAATAAAATATTATAATTACAAATATAAAAAAATGTTCTATCTACGTGACTTGTTGTTGCTGTTGCGGACTCTTGTTTAGGACAAAGTGGTCCTCCTACTTGTTGGGGCTGCTGCTGTTATTGACTTTTGCTCCGCCCTTACTGCTAATGTTGTAAACATTGATGTTGCATGCGGCTGTTCATGTTGTTGTAAATGCCCCTCATTGCTGACGGTTCATTGTGCAGTCCGCGAGTGCTATTGCTGTTTGCTGTTGCACCTGCGGCCCGTGGTGTCTTGAGAAGCCAGCAGTGGAGTTGCAAGCTCCCGTCGTGGTAACGTGGACTTTCCTCACCCACGGCCAGTGAGGCGCGCAATGGAAATGCGACGGCATTAGACGTGAGCACTGCCCGAGATGCATTTTGCGGACAGATTTGCTCATATCGGGTGACCAACACAAAATACTGTAATCGATAGCGTCACAAGAGAATCTAAGGAACACAATCGATAAGGGGCCGTCCATAAATGACGTCACGCGATTTTGGACGATTTTTGACCCCCCCCCCCTCGTCACACGGGGTCACAAAAAGTCAGACCCCCCCCCCTCAAATATGACGTCACAAAGCTCTGCCCCCCCCCCCCAAAACCATATTTCCATTTTGAAAATATAACATGCTTCAAATCGCTTTAAACTATAATGTGGCGCTGCACTCTTATGTTGTAGGAGGTTATTAAAAAGTTTATTTAATTAAGTAGAACGTGTTGTCTATATTTATTTAAAGTTGCCCATTTTGATGTGACGTCACATTTCTCAACCCCCCCTCCCCTCGTCACACATCGTCACAAATGTCTAAAACGTTATAGGCAGTCAACATTGGTTCTTTTTTTACAACTATATTTGCACTACACATGTTTATCGTGACTTGCTTTACCTTTTCTATACTTTGCACTCCTATCGGTTTGTGTATTTCTGTTGTAACTTTCTGTCTTGCCCCCTACTGGACATCTGTGAAATAGAGCTTCATAGCTCATCGGATTCCTCCAGTCTAAATGAAAATTCTGATTCTGTGAATGCACAAACACCCGGCATACGAACGTGGAATTGACATCAATGACTTGTGAACCCGTTGGGAACGTGCACTGCTCCATGCTCAGTTTAGCAGAGGGACACTTCGATTTGTGCCTTGTTGTCGATAATGTTGCTGTTTTGCATGATTGCTGGCATTGTTGCTTGTACTGCTGTTGTTGCTTTTTGTTCTTACTCTTGCTCTTGGGGTGTTCCCATTATCTTTGGCAATTTGAATTGACCTGAAAAAAAATCGTGTGATCCCTCAATGGATGTCTCCCATTATCCAAAGTTGTTCACGGTTAAGAGGGGTGACTCAGAAGCGGTGGTAAATTATCTTCATATTCGCATTTATCTAAAGTACAAGCGAGACCTGGAAATAGTCTCCTGCAAGTACTGATTATATTTACCCTCTAATTGGGATACAAATTTCTTGCAACATCGCCACCTACTGGATTACCTCCTCGCGTACAAATATTGGCCACTGTGTTTCATTTCTGAAGAGTTGCCCTCTGCAGCCCGACGAACGCCGCGTGACCTCATTTCAGCCTGTCAGAGTGCGGCGTGAACAGCATGTAAAGGAACGTGAATGTTGCGAGGATGCAAATTCCAAAATCCAACTTTTTTTCCATTTCCAATTATTCTCGGACATAGTAGTAGGGTTTTACCCTTTAAACTGGTACAAAACTGACACCTTTATACAAGGCATCATGTTTGCAATGACCGCAACACAAGTAGTCAAAATACAAACAAAAGAAACAACTCTGATAATGGTAATGATATGCACTGTCCTTGAAGTTGATGACGCCAAAAGGTCTTTTGGCGTCATCTGGTCCAACACCAATGGACACTAGGCTCTAAGGAAAGCTGTCTCGGGTGTGGACCAATCAACTTCAAGGACAGTGCATATCATTACCATTATCAGAGTTGTTTCTTTTTGTTTGTATTTTGACTGCTTGTGTTGCGGTTATTGCAAACATGATGCCTTGTATGAAGGTGTCAGTTTTGTACCAGTTTAAAGGGTAAAACCCTACTACTATATTTTGCCACTGGTAAAGGAGGTCTCGGTGTATTCTAGAACATGTTTATTGCAGCGACATGGATGTAAATATTATACATGTTGTACTGGCAAACAACCATTCGCATTAATGTAAACAGTTAAAGGATCAATCTTGACTTAAAGCTTTCGTGACTGCAGGAATTCATATTCTTAAAGTCACGTAGATAGGTTGAAGGAAAATAACCAAAGACATTTTCTTTGAACCTATCTACGTGACTTTACCGAAAGACCCCAAAAATATTGTTAAAGGATAACCCCTATATACAAGCAATTCACCGTTTATTGTCTAAAAAAGCTGTATGCATGCCACCAAAGCACGTCTAGGTTATAAGTAATTAAAGCTTAACATGACACAAATATATGTATTGTATATAACAATACATTGATTACTAGAGATGTAGAAAAGCATTGATCAATTACTTAAAATACAATCTAATGCTCGATGGTAACCTGTTGGAATAAATAATGATTATTAAACATTAATATATATCGTTATCTAACTAGTTCATGCAATGCCTACAACTACTAGAGGTGCTACATTGCACCGCGGTGTTAAAACAATTAATTCTTGAATCGAATTGTGACCCCGAGTTTGCTACAAATGATCGAATTACGAGGTGGGAGCGAATTTTTGCATGTCTCTTATTTATCACACGTAACATGTACCAGGTTACGAACATCCTGCTATACACATATAATGTTATATTACTACACATGCACACTGTGGTAATGGTGACCAAAATCAGGTTATGAGCATATTTTGTCTTCGTTTTGTCAGTGAGTGGGGCTTTGGCTGCAATTAAAATGATTTCTGTAAAGTTGTACTATCTCACTTCTGCTTAAACCACTTGCAGGTCTCCTTGGTCAGTTGCAGCATTTGCATTTGAGCCGATCGTTGGTGTGATTGGCAAGGGCTGTAAATCCCTGTCGATGATAGCTAAATGAAGGCACGATTGCAGAAACACACACACGCCCTTTAATTTCCATCTCTGGTTCGAACTCTCTTCATCTGCCCCGGTGAAGGCTTAACGTGATTGTTCGACATGCGAGCACATTACGCAATTCTGTGGGCAGGTTGCGGCGAGGCCACCGGGTGATCCCCTTTAGGTTTAAGCTCTTTGCAGGGCAGATTGCGGCTCATCCAGTGCATGTTTTGTTTCGTGGAAATGACGGCGATTGACCCATGTTGATCAATTTTTTTCTTTGTACATAATCTCTCACGCCACGGGAAGCCATGGAAGGTCCTGGTGAAAATCATTGTCGGCTTTTTTTTGCTTTCGTGGATTTTCCTTTTTTCTGCCCAGTGACCAATTTCTCTGCTTTCCGACGAGGATGCAAATCGGGGCCGAGAGGCACACTGCATGGATATGGAGTTGGCATGCATCGCCTGTCGATTGACACTCACTGCGATGCTCTCCCAAGCCTGCCTGCTACATTATCTGACATCAATCCCTCACTTATGTAGTGCAGTAAAACTCCTCTTATCCGCCGTCATGTGGAGGGAGCTCTTGTCAGAACAGATTGGCACGCATATCTGTGAAGGCAACTGCATATAAACGAGGATAATTTGTTGAATTTACCCCTGGCATAGGTTTCCGTGGTCGTGCCGTCTCCCTCTCCGATGTTGGCAGGTTGTACCGCATGTGTTAGGGGTGATGTCTGACGTTTCGCTCGCTCCACATGCTGGGAGCGTGCCCAGAAACTGAACTGAACAGCTTCAATTTTTCGATTTAAAGATTTCGTGACTGCAGGGATTCATCTCCTTGGTTATTTCGGTAAAGTCACGTAGAAGGGAAATAATAAACTAATAACAATAAAACATAATAAAATACAATTCTCACGACGTTTCGGCCACAACGCAAGCAGCCGCCCTCAGGTGAAAAACAGGGCTGTCGGAAATACAGCATCAGACCTTTTCTTCACCTGAGGACGGCTGCTTGCGTTGTGGTCGAAACGTCGTGATAATTTTTATTTTATTATGTTTTATTTTTATTATTTTAATATTTCCCTTCTACGTGACTCTACCGAAAGAACCAAGAAGATGAACAGCTTCACTTTTTTCCCTCGATTGTAGAAATCGAACACCAAAAGGGTGCAACCGATAAATACATCAGAGACATATATGTATATATGGTATAGCATGTATATGATTAATATTATGCACAAATACAAATTGGTTGATTAATAGAAAGGACACATGCTGATTCAACATTCAGTCCTTTGCGTGTGTATGGGCCTTACGTTGTATGGTGGTTGCCCGTGCTATGTACATATACTGCACTTTAATAACTGATGAATAAAAAAATAATAGCCTCGTTTAATGTCACACAAAGAATATTGACTCTTCCTTCGGCTGACTGGTTCCAGCAACTAATGCGATTTATTAATAACAATACAAACCTTTTCTTATTTTATTAAGTTTGACAAGTTTACTGAAGCATCAAATTCATCGCTCAAAGAGGAGTAATGAACAGGCTATAATCTACAGTTTTATGTTTTGTACAATTACAGTCGAACAAAATGCTTCAGAACAGACACATTTCTACTCAAAATACGTACGCACCACAATGGCGTGCATGCAACTCACTGGAAGGGCTGGGGGTATTTGGCGGATATCTGAAAAGGTCAAATATATGAACAGCTCTAGAAAATGACAGGTACACCGGGGTGCACAAATAGGTCACCGGACAAAAATAGAACGCAGAATTCTTTCACCATTGGAAAACGCCTTAGTGTACTCTACCAGTTAGCAAATGCACGCGACATTAAGAATACGTTATTGTGCGTGAAAAAATAGGAATTGTGAGAATTTATGGAAGTTGATACTTACACTGTGCACAAATACTACACTGGGTGTGGGCGTTTACACTATGAGACCTCCTTTACCAGTGGCAAAATATAGTAGTAGGTTTTTACCCTTTCAACTGGTACAAACACTGACACCTTCATACAAGGGATCATGTTTGCAATAACCACAACACAAGCAGTCAAATGCAAACAAAAAGAAACAACTCTGATAATGATATGCACTATCATTATTAAATTAAATTATAATGATATGCACTATCATTATCAGAGTTGTTTCTTTTTGTTTGCATTTTGACTGCTTGTGTTGTGGTTATTGCAAACATGATCCCGTGTATAAAGGTGTCAGTTTTTGTACCAGTTGAAAGGGTAAAAACCTATAACTAGGTGTGGGTGGTTAGTCACTCAGGACTGTCATTGAATTTTTTTTTTTATATGTCACGCTTACTCCACATTTTGGTTTTCCCGCTATAGTATGGCGTGGTCGGATTGCCGATGGGCTGTATTTGGACACCAACATGTCGAGCAGCAGCATGCCATGAAATGCCCGTTGTTCGAAATTACAGTGAAGAGAGTACAGTGGCTACCGTCTGGCGTCTTTGTCTTATTTGTTATTTGCACACCAAGCTACGGCTGCAGAGTTTGGCGGTGGTACATGTTGTTTACGTCGTTTATTGTGAACATTCGGTCACACCATTGGAACCTCATTTGCCAGTAAAAAATATGATAATTGGTTTTTTACCCTTCCATCTGGCAACAAAACTGACACCTTTTGGCGTCATCTGGTCCAACCCATGAGAGACTAGGCTCTAAGGAAAGCTGTCTCGGGTGTGGACCAATCAACTTCCAGGACAGTGCATATATTATCGTAGTTATGTTTTTTGTTTGCATTATGACTGCAGGTATTGTGGTCTATGCAAACATGACTCCTTGTAAAAAAAGGTGTCAGTTTTGTTGCCAGATGGAAGGGTAAAAAACCAATTATCTATTCGGTCACAGTTCCTATGACCACTGTTTCATTGCTTTTATGGCTTTATTTTGGTGATTTTCGAAAAGTTTTTGGTTTGGTCATGTTTGTTTGTTGTAGTACAGAGTTAGACTGATGAGCTTAATCTAAGTTGGCTTGTGGTTGTTGTTGTTGTTTGACTTGCATCCCACTGGGATTTTTGCACACAGTGTTGGTGTATGGTACTTTTTCTGCAATATTTTGCTGTCTTTTCTTGGATTTTCTGTTTGCACATAGTCACTTTAAGATGTTTTCTTGTTCATGTTTTTGTTTTTTGTTTGTTGCGGTTGCACCCGATTCAAGAGCCGAATGGCTCACAGGGCTATACCTAATCAATGAACTTGAACTTGTTTTAACCACCGCTGTCGTCCCATCACAGCCGGGCGCGACCACACGTTGAGCTGAGCGAGCTGACCGCCGGCGTGCGGGGGACACCATGCCCACGGCCATCCTCCTCGACTGCTCGCTCTCCATGGCCTGCCCGGTGCCCGGGGTGGCGGAGGGAGCCGAGGAGCCGACACGGAGGCAGCTGGCCACCGCCGCCCTGTCGGCCCTCTTCCAGCACGTGCAGGCTCTCTACCGCCTCGAGTTCACGGCCCTGCTCGCCTTCTCGTCACGCTGGCAGCTGGTGGTGCCCTTCACGCGCGACTACAACGCCCTGCAGGTAAAGGTTTAGATGCGTGCGTCGCACCCGCCCTGCCGCCGCCGCCGCCGCTGCTGCTGCTGCTGCGGCCAAACGGCACGGTGCGTTAGGGGCATCCATTTATTTTCTTGGTTCTTTCGGTAAAGTCATGTACAAGGGAAGTAATAAAATATAATACAATAATTATGTTTTATTTTTATTATATTATTATATTATACTATTGTATTATATTATTTAAATTTATTATATTATTTTATTATATTATTTTTTGTATTATTTTATTATGTTTTATTTATTTTTATTATTTTATTACTTCCCTTCTACGTGACTTTACCGAAAGAACCAAGCTTTAAATCGAATTCATCCATTTATTGTGAAAATTCCGTCAGTTCCTATGATCACTGTTTCATTGGTTTCATGGCTTTATTTTGGTGACTTCGAAAAGTGTATTGGTTTAGCCATGTTTGTTTGTTGTAGTACAGAGTTAGACTGATGGCCTTAATCTAAGTTGTCTTGTGGTTGTTGTTGTTGTTTGACTTGCACCCCACTGGGATTTTTGCACACTGCGTTGGTGTACGGTGTTTTTTTCTGCAATATTTTCCTGTCTTTTCTTGGATTTTCTGTTTGCAATCAGTCACATATTCACTTTAAGATGTTTTTTTGTTCATGTTTTTGTTTTTTGTTTGTTGCGGTTGCACCCGATTCAAGAGCCGAAAGGCTCACAGGGCTATACTTAATAAATGAACTCGAACTTAATTGCCACTAGACAGCCATCATCAACGTTGGCGGGACGCACCACTTCCAATAGTTTAGTCGACACGGTTTCGCGGCTGTGCCGTAGAGCTCTCCGATTTCGTCCTGAGGTTGCGCTACATGTCGTTCGGCACAACGTCCGACGTTTCGCTCCACCTGCTGGAAGCTTATTTGGGAAGTGTCATGCTGTGATTAATTACCTGCGTTACCTCCTCCCGTATGGGTACAAGAGGGGTTTGAATAGTGTTGTTTACATTGCTGCAATTTGTTGATGTTTACATAATTTTATTTCGTACGGTACATATTTTAATAGCTGTGGTTAGGAAAGCTTTTACATTTAGAAGACGAATCTCAAGAGGTTTCTACAAAATGAATTAAACAAAATGTATTGATAAGGCATGAATTATTGTCTCTAACATGTACCAAATTATTTACTCAACAACACTTTTCAGAATTATTTGTATTGTTAAGTTCAGCATTTTATTTCAAAAGCTCTGATATCTCCACATTGGAAGAGATATTTGTGCGTGCCAGTTGTTTGCATTGGGAATTAAAGTGGGAGATTCTGTACGCATGTTAACTGGTACCCATGGATACCTGGATCTGTCAGGTTCCTTAAGAAAGTCCCATGTCCAGGATTGTAATGTAAGGTGTTTTTAGGTCACTGAACAGTAAGGCATAACTCTGGTGACCGATATAAGATCCACAATCATCGTATATTGATGATCACAGTTATTTTTTTCTTAAACATTCTATTTGCTAACAAAATATCTATCGGATACAAAACGCCTATAATGATCGAAGTTGTAAATACATGGCTACTATCAATTAAATGAGTGCTCTGCATGAGGGTATTTTTCTTGAAGAATTATGTCATGGGAAACATAAGGCCATAATTTTTGTAGTCGAATTCTAGTGATGATGTATTGTGTAACTGACTGCATGTGTGATGTAAGTGTTATAGATTGTCAAGTTGTCATGATTTTAATGACTTGTAGCTGACTACAGGTGAATAAACTGCGGTTGCACTTTCTAGTGATCTTCATTTGTATTGTACGTACAGCAAACCACAAATAAGACAATACTAGTGCAAAAATACAGTGACAAAGTTGTGGGAATCTGATGTCACAATAAATTATTATTGTTGTATTGTGAAAAATTATACAGCGGCAACCCTCGGTGTAATAATGTATTGATTCTTCAGCTCACATGAGGTGCATAGAATACTGTTTTTGAGAATAAATATTTTCAATTTGTAATATATTTAATGTGCTGTGCTCACGCGACCCTTGCAGCCACTAGAATTTTCTATGTTCGCAATGTAAAACAAAAATGTATTTTTTTATTATTATTGAATCGCGACCCTGGGTAATGACAATTGAATCGCCAGGGGGAGGTGGTGAATTGCTCCACCCATGCGAAATGGTTTACAGTTTCGATTGTTTCTCCAACCCCATAACGTCTACCTTCACCCCCAAAATCAACTACGTGACGTCCAGCCCACCAGTGTGATTGTTGCAATTAGTTTTGTTTGCGGTACACAGAGTGCAATCGTTTTAAACCCAATGGGGAGGCTAATGTCCCTTTCCAAGAACAAAAAAAATCATCAGGACCTCATGTGTCATATGGCCTGCGTACAGCAGCATAATGAGACACTCCACCCATTGATGTGATGGCGCAGGGAAAGTAATTTACTGGCAGGAGATGAAATTGGGAACAGCTGTCCTCGAAAGTTGCACTCGATAATCCATTTCACATCTTGTTCCTGGGGTCATGGAAGATTACTTACATGGGGAATGCAAGGGGGGACATGCCACCTTCGAATAGGCATGCTTCTTTCCAGCTCAGCCGCTTCTTATTATCTACGAATTGTGGAGTGAATTTGTGTGAATTTAGTCGGATTTTTTAAAATCACTTTTGTCATGGTCTTAGTCTCGTCGATGGTAACCTGTAGAATTTTTATATTTTTGGTTCTTTCGGTAAAGTCACGTAGAAGGGAGAGGCCAGGCTTCCATATTTCTTTCGCCACCACAAAATACCAAACATTGCCACTTATCGTTGAAGCTACGGCATAAGAGATGGATGCGTTGTCATGGTAATTGATATTCTGTGTTTGTCCAAAACGTGGTGTTGCAGGTTGTGAAAATACCCTAACGTTACCCTTGCCTAAAGTACTTGCTGATGTCTTTCAAATAAATTACTGGGTCATTATGGGCTAAATAAGCTGCACAATTGGGTTGATGTGGCCTTCCAAATCTTTCCCTGAGCCTGATTGGTTCTGCAGCAAATCCACGTAATGACCCATGTTCATGTGCAGTAGCAATCTTGTTTGGGTTTTAGATCATCGTGGTTACTTCTTTGTGTTGCGTGTTAATTGTTTCTTGGGTAATCATAAACAATGTTCGTCTCGTTCAATTGGCTGTGTGAGTCTGTGCACAGGTTATGAAGAAACAGATATTTACTTAAGCACAAACACATTACATCCGCTTGCATTTTCACATCCCGTTGTATTTCACGTAATGTTTTTCATCATATTTTGAACCTTTCTTTATCTGCAAGAACGAAAGCAATTTGTCCAATTGTATCAACCAAGTGCAGTGTGAGGTTGGATGAAACAACTGCTGCAGCAATTTGGCCTCTGTAACAACGGGGTTCTGCCTTCCTTATCACGCTTGCAATTGCAGTGTTTTGTTTATATCTGTTCATACCTGTCCATCTATGCGGCTGTGTGTCCGTGTGTCTTCCTGGGAGTGGGGAGCGGCAGTGCAGCGGTCCGCGCAGTGCGCTACGAACCCTGCGCCCGAGTTTTGAGCCCACTCACGATCAACACGAGCGACAGTTATTTGAGCCGGTCCTGGGCCTTTCTTAGGTCCAACCCACGTGAGACTAGGCTCTAAGGAAAGCTGTCTCGGGTGTGGACCAATCAACTTCAAGGACAGTGCACATTATCAAAATTATGTCTTTTGTTTGTATTATGACTGCAGGTATTGCGGTCTATGCAAACATGACTCCTTGTAAAAAGGTGTCAGTTTTGTTGCCAGATAGAAGGGTAAAAAACCAATTATCAACCACAATACTTGTGGTCAGAATGCAAACAAAAGAAACATACTCTGATAATATATGCATTGTCCTTGAAACTGATTGGTCCACACCAGAGACAGCTTTCTTTTGAGCCTCGACGCAAGTGGTGTTAGACCAGAGGACGCCAAACGGCGTACATCACAAAGGCAATGCACTATCAGAGTAATGAGAGCTCGGGGTGAGCAGCTACATCATGGGCCCTCCTTTGCCAGTACCAAAATATGAGAATGGGGTTTTCCCCTTTTATCTGTACGCCTTTTGGCGTCCTCTGGTCGAACACTGTTTGAGACGAGGCTCAAAAGAAAGCTGTCTCTGGTGTGGACCAATCAGTTTCAAAGACAATGCATATATTATCAGAGTATGTTTTTTGTTTGCATTTTGACCACAAATATTGTGGTTAATGCAGACATCATTCCTTGTTAAAGGTTTCAGTTTGGTGTTTTAACAACTTAACACCTGTTTTGTTGCCAGATAAAAGTGGAAAAACCTATTCTCATAATACTCTCTTGTGAAATTAAACAGACTATATAACAAATTAGTCTCAGGTCTATTTAATTATGATCTGTTGAGGCATATTTCTGCCTGAATTGTTTAAAAAACTGTTTAGCCGTGCAAATTCATGCCTAATACACCATACATGTAGCATTGCTCCTGGTGATGTGATGGTTGTTGATTTATGCATTATTATATTCTAAATAAGCTCGTTAGTATGTATGCCCTTCGTGTCATGCCAAAAGGGCTGATTGCACAACTGAGCTCAAAGAAAGTTATTTGATTAATTCTTCAGAGTCATGGAGTTCTTAATTATTTTAAGTTTTTCTTTTAACTGGTCAGCACTCTTTATAAAAAATAATATTATAGTGAAAAATAATAACAGAAAAGCTTCAATGCTTTTCCTGCCACAAGTGCCATCACGTGACGTCAATTTGACAATACCTGACCACCTTTTGCCTTAATTATTCCAATATAAAAACGTTTACATATAAAGTATTGTTCTAATGCTGGAACTTAATGTTCAAAATAAAAACATCATTTTTTATATCAAAATTAATCAAACGATTGCATCTAGTATATAAACAAGGTGGATAAAATGTGAGACGTTTAAATCGAAAATATGTTTTTTATAACAATTAAAATTAAAAAATGTGAAAATTCTCAATAAAGTCCGAAAACGGGCCTTGATTCCATCAGTGACTGCTAAATCCGAAGCTCATCCTTGCTCATCCTTACTGCAAAGTCTACCTACGCGATGAGATAGCAATAACCATCCTACCGACAAGGCAGCCACCCTGTGAATGGCGAGGCGCGTGATCAAGCGCTGCGACGAAGCGGCTGTTGCGTTGCAGGAGGGCCTGGCGAGCCTGGAGGAGCGTGACAAGACGTGCCTCGAGGAGGCCTTGGCAGGACTGAGCCGCGTCGTGTTGGAGGAGTGGGGAGTCGGGACCCCCTGCCAGGTACAGTGCACCGAGAGGTGAAACCGCTGCTAATTCTAGATTTGAAGCTTTCGTGACTGCAAGGATTCATATTCTTAGGTTTTTTCGGTAAAGTCACGTAGGTAAAACATTAAAATTAATACAAGTAAAATAAAATAATATAATAAAATATATTATTTTATTTTACTTTGATTAATTTTATATTATTTTATTTTACTTTTATTAATTTTAATGTTTTACCTACGTGACTTTACCGAAAAAACCTAAGAATATGAAACCGCTGCTACTTTTCGCGTTGGATTTTGTGGTTGTGCTGCAAGGACTCCCCGTTGTGTGTTTTTCGGGTTCCACCGCGTGATCTTACCTGGGATGTTGTGCTAGATTTTTGCTTCGCGCGGCTGGGAGTATTTGAGGGATGAAGGAAGAACTGGCAAAGCTTCGAGCGCTTTGAGTGAAATGTCAAACAACGTGCAGTACAACCTTGTAAACGCATGAGAGAGAAAGCCCCCTGCTGTTGATGAGAGTCTTTAAAGTGAACTTTTAGTGATCAGCATTGAACAAAGCTTGTTAGGAGCATACATTCTTAAATTCAGGGTATGTGCATCGAGATACGTGTTTAAGAATCGATGTTTGAGGTGTGTGTGTGTGTGTTGTATGTAATGGGTTTATGTCGGCTGAGCAGAAATTCACTACACTGATGTTCACAGCCCACTGTTGAGAGAGATTTTATTATCTCGTAAATCTCAACGTTGCGCTGAATTACGACATTTCAATAGTTCGCCAAGATGATGACTGGTTTCACACTGCTTCTCGGTCATAATTTTGACTCCTTTCTCAGAAGAAAAAAAAATCAGAAATGTTTCCCTGATATAGTCATTAAAATATGAATGTAGTAAACCAGTCAATGAATCAGTTTGCATGTTTAAAAACCAAAATTTGCATTTCTACATTCAGGACAATCATTCAATGAATGTGGTACACTTAATGAAAGCAGGATACTTTAATGAATACAATTAGATATTTACTATAGATATTCAGTTCAATAATGTGTGGTACATATATTTACTGAACAAAAAATCTATATCACAACAACAGCACATTGTCATAGACAATTTTTACGTTTTATTAAGACACTGAAACAAATTGTGTAAATTCACACACAGTAAAATTATATAAATAAGAACCCAACACGTTTCTGCCTTTTTGGTGATATCACACAATACATCGTCGCAAAATCGCCGACCTAAATAGCCCGAAAGAGTGGCGCAAACGGTGGGACAGATTGATGTGTGAAACAAGGGTGTTGAATAGCAGTGTCATTGGCGCACATTATCTTCTACTTTAGGAAATCAAAGCCATTCTTCTGCCCCCTGGGATAACAGCCCATCTCCACGGCTTGAGGGCCAGCTGGCAGGGCTCAGTAATCGATCGGGGCCGCTATTGTGCCGGTCCAAGTGAAATTGCTCGCCACAATCATTGTGCCTGACCGACAAGCCCCCCGCCTCGCCCTGCGCACAGGTGATCGTGGTGACGGACGGGTGCCTGGGCGTGGGCCGCGGGACCCTGCGTCACTCTCTCGCCACGCTGGGTGCCCGCACGGACGAAGAAGGCCGCTTTCCTCTGCCCTTCCCGTTCCCCGCGCGTCTCTACGTCATGTGCCTGGCCACCGTCGATGAGGTCACTCGCCTTTTTGTTGTTGTTGTTGTTCGGGTCATCCACATTTACCCCTCCGCATTTAGAGTCGACGCTCGTTTAGAGTTATTTGGCCAAAATTCATTTCAATGTTGATGAGAAACCACTATGTTGAACTATCAATCGTGGCCAGGTCGCTTCTGAAAATAAGCTATTTAGCTTCGTGGGCCTTACCTGGTAAAATTGAAATAGCGGGAATAGTTTGTTCTTTCTTGTTTTTTTAATCCACGCAATGTTATCACTGACTGTGCTCTAGACCGCGCGGCACGGGATGAATAATTGATTCGGCACTCTCTTGCTCCACCTCCACTCATGGGACTTTGAATGAGTATTCCGCAACGCAGGTCCACATTGATATCAATCATCAGTGCCTCCGTAAGCTTCAAATAAACTGAAAAACATCAGCAGGGTATTGCACTTAGTTTGATGTTGTTAGTATTTGACCGAACAAAATATTAAATATATGGAACTCTGTAATAACCATGACGAAAGAGTAAGAACAGAAATCAGAGGACAACACACAAGAGTGGTTGAAGATGCCATGCCAAATATTGGGAGCATGAAAGCAGAAAAAATTACGTTGGTCATTGAGAGAACGGAAATGGCAGCTGGAACAAATCCAGATTTAACCATAACACACGATAGGCGAAGAGTGATAAAGTAGTGACGGATTGTTATGCTGACCTATCCAGCAAGAACATGCTAATATCACAGTTGAACGATATTTCTTTAAGATGAGGAGGATGACGTTCAGGAAAGTGCACCTGCCCTGTACAATATTTAAAACAAAGAAAGTTCCCAGACCGGACGGAATAACTCTGGGCTTCTTCAAGGTAGCGGGCCCCGCTGTAGAATCAAAATGAGTGGACCCACAAAATGAGCCGGTGCATAGGAAGGAAGCCCAAGACCACCTCACATACCACATGCCACTGATGCTAGTTGTGGCTGGGAAATAGATTTATAGCACAGTGACCTAACCACTGTGCCACCGCTACCCTTCAGGTACAGTGTGTATACGTGTCACAATGTGGCACGCTTGTCAAGTTGACAGTTCTAACACGATATATATTCTTGGTTCTTTTGGTAAAGTCACGTAAAAGGGACGTTGCCTCGTGAAAACGTAATATTATTACGAGCGTTTCTATTCTTATGGATTCACACCTAATCTATTTTGGTCAGAGCAATTCAAATCTAAATCTACCCTTGAGAAAAATCATTTGAGGAAATTAATGTGAATCGATTATTGTGATGCTTAAAATGCTAATTGTAATACAATCCTATTAGCGTTCACTTTAATTCATCAGATCAGTGCATGTACACAATCACTGTGATGTACTAATTACCTTGATTCCATCAGTGACTGAAATTCGTCGTCCCTTTCCACCACTTAAGTACAAACGCACAACGATGTAAAACTACACTGTGATTAAAATATGGGCGCTATATATGTCAATGTAGCATTAAATAGAAATATAATTATAGGTATTATAATATGGTAACACAAAATCCTATTTTGTAACAAATAAATCAGGCACGCTTTATCTTAAATGCAAAGGCAAAATCAAATAGAAATGCTTTAAACTTTTGCTACGTGGTGCAGTGGATATTGCACCGCGCCCTAAACCTGTTGACCCAATTAAGTACGGTACGACAGAAGCTACGTACAAACGTACCAGTTTCTAAAACTAGTGAATTTTCTCCTGTTTTTCCCCCTCAATTATAATTTGAATTATCCACGGGTTGGCCTCGCTGGCTAACAATAATCGTTGTAATAAGTCACTACCCTTTGTCAATTCACTGCTGGATGAAGGACCTCCCATGCTCAGTGAGTCATCGAGGTTGTTTTCACCATACTTCACCAACTCACACCGGTCAGTGTGAGTTGGTGAAGGGGCAGGGGGTGGGGTTAGGGTGGGGGCAGCAGGAAGTTCAAAGTTCATGTATTAGGTAGAGCCCTGTGAGCCATTCGGCTCTTGAATCGGGTGCAACCGCAACAAACAAAAAAACATGAACAAGAAAACATCTTAAAGTGACTATGTGCAAACAGAAAATCCAAGAAAAGACAGCAAAATATTGCAGAAAAATCACCGTACACCAACCCTGTGCAAATATCCCACTGGGATGCAAGTCAAAGGAATGTTTCGCATGTACCCTGAGAAAAGTTGGAGTACCCACACTTTACCCCACCACACGCGCCACATGCCGAGCAACTCACTGTGGCGTGTACACATTTCGACTGATGGATTCACGGGGGACAAAGGGGATGAGAGAAGCTTGCCTCATTGTTTGAACCAATTGCCGAATGGAATCTGCGATGACCGTCATCACCACGGCAGCAGCATTAACCGTCTTGAAATAAAAAGGTACAAATATGTCATTGTTGTTTCTGCCAACAGCTACAGAGCATCGGAGCCCTGGAGAGGCTGGAGAAGCTCATAGAGCTGAACAACGGCAGCGGGCAGATCGTAGCGGTGGAGGGGCAGCTGCTGCTCAAGAACGTCCACAACATGGTCAGGTGTGTGGGTGTGTAGGGTGTGTGTGTGTAGGGTGTGTGTGTAGGGTGTGTGTGTGTAGATCGTAGCGGTGGAGGGGCAGCTGCTGCTCAAGAACGTCCACAACATGGTCAGGTGTGTGGGGGTGTAGGGTGTGTATGGTGTATGTGTAGGGTGTGTGTGTGTAGATCGTAGCGGTGGAGGGGCAGCTGCTGCTCAAGAACGTCCACAACATGGTCAGGTTTGTAGGGGGTGTAGGGTGTGTGTAGGGTGTGTGTGTGTGTACGGTGTGTGTGTGTGTAGGGTGTGTGTGTGTAGATCGTAGCGGTGGAGGGGCAGCTGCTGCTCAAGAACGTCCACAACATGGTCAGGTGTGTGGGTGTAGGGTGTGTGTGTAGTGTGTGTGTGTAGGGTGTATGTGTGTGTGTAGGATGTGTGTAGGGTGTGTGTGGTGTATGTGTAGGGTGTGTGTGTGTATGGTGTGTAGGGTGTGTAGGGTGTGTGTGTGTAGGGTGTGTGTGTAGATCGTAGCGGTGGAGGGGCAGCTGCTGCTCAAGAACGTCCACAACATGGTCAGGTGTGTAGGGGGTGTAGGGAGTGTGTGTGTAGTGTGTGTGTAGAGTGTGTGTGTAGGGTGTGTGTAGGGTGTGTAGGGTGTGTGTGTAGGGGTGTGTGTGTAGGGTGTGTGTGTGTAGGATGTGTGTGTGTAGGGTGTGTGTGTGCAGATCGTAGCGGTGGAGGGGCAGTTGCTGCTCAAGAACGTCCACAACATGGTCAGGTGTGTGGGTGTGTAGGGTGTGTGTGTAGTGTGTGTGTGTAGGGTGTGTGTGTGTGTGTAGGATGTGTGTAGGGTGTGTGTGTAGGGTGTGTGTGGTGTATGTGTAGGGTGTGTGTGTGTATGGTGTGTGTGTAGGGTGTGTATGGTGTGTGTGTGTATGTTGTGTGTGTGTAGGGTGTATGTGTGTAGGGTGTGTGTGTATTGGGTGTGTATGGTGTATGTGTGTAGGGGGTGTGTGGTGTGTGTGTAGGGTGTGTGTGGTGTGTGTGTAGGGTGTGTGTGTGTAGGGTGTGTATGGTGTATGTGTGTGTAGGGTGTGTATGGTGTGTGTATGGTGTATGTGTGTAGGGTGTGTGTGTGTAGGGTGTGTGTGTATTGGGTGTGTATGGTGTATGTGTGTAGGGTGTGTGTGGTGTGTGTGTAGGGTGTATGTATGTGTATGGTGTGTATGGTGTGTGTGTATGGTGTGTATGGTGTGTAGAGTGTGTGTGGTGTATGGTGTGTGTGTAGGGTGTATGTGTGTATGGTGTGTAGGGTGTGTGTGGTGTATGGTGTGTAGGGTGTATGTATGTGTATGGTGTGTGTGTAGGGTGTGTATGGTGTGTGTGTATGGTGTGTATGGTGTGTATGGTGTGTATGTATGTGTAGGGTGTGTGTGTGTGTGTGTATGGTGTGTGTGTATGGTGTGTATGGTGTGTGTGCGTACTCTCCCTCGTGGGCAGCGGTAGTGTAACGACTCGCGCACTGCACTACGTACGCAACGACCCAGGTTCAGTTCCCACTCACAACCAGCACCAGTGATTGTGATCTGAACTAGTCCTGCACCTCCCCTTGGTCGATTCAGTTTCCGATGAGTACTTGATGCGGTGTGTAAACATCGCCACGAGGGAGACAAAGGCGGACGGGTGTGGTGCTGTGCCACCCACCCCCTCGTGTGCTGACCTGGCCTTTACAGGTGCTCGCTAACAGTGCTTGCCCCAACAGTCTGTTCAAGGCTATACGGGGGACCTCTATCTTTGTAATTTCCTTCACTGGCAAACGGTAAATGATATCAGTATAAATGTGACCTTTTCCGCGAACTACGCTCACTGATTCCTCCACCAATGTTCATGGCTAGGTCTGCTAGTCTCACTTTTTTGGCTTATTCACTCTGTGTTCAGCCACCGCGCTGCAGGTTTAATCACTGCTTTCTGATTCTTCCCTCGCTCTGCTCAACTTTGCACTTCCCTCCCCATCGTCTCCTTTTCATGAGAACCTTTGCTCAATTTAAGGAACGTGTCGCCCCTCATCTGGTGCCACTTTGATCGTGCTGGTTATTGCCGAGCCTCTTCAATGTGCTCAGTCACTTGCGTTTTTTTTGTGCCACAACCAACCATCTCTTCAACGAAGATCAGAGACACTTCCTGGAGCACGTTGAGAAGGAAGATCGTGCAAGTTTTTCAATAAAATAAAATCTAAAAGAGAACACCATCACACAGCAGTATCACTAAATCCTGGTGTATGTATGTATTGCGCGTTGAACTTCTGTCACACCGTGCATAACCAGACGTTCTCATCGGAGGTGCGTGGGGAGGACAACGGACTAAAGACAAAAAGCAGTGAGAAAGAAAACGAGTTTTCAATCGAGATTCAAAAGTGCCTCCTAATACACTGGTCAACACACTTTTCTGGCATAAGGTATTCCAACGGTTTTAAGGTAATTTTGGGGTGCTGATTCCAAATCTGGAATCAGTTTTTGTCTATCACATCAGGTTTTTGAGATATCAAATATAGCATTTTCAATAAAAACTGCAGAAAAAAAATATTAAATAAATGTGGATATCTACATAATATGATATTATAAACACACTATCCTAAAAATACAGCACCATATTTGAACACTAAAGCAGTCACTGACTCGCAACAACTTGCAATCATAAGTGACAGAGTTAATTTCGGGTAAAATCAATGAAAATGGGGTATGCCGATAGCATAAAAATGAGATGTGATAGAGCAAATCTGAGATCAGATTTGGAATCAGCACCCTGAAATTAGTCTAAAACAGCTGCAAAAGTCCAGGCCAGAAAATTTTTAATTTATTTTTTGACCAGTGATATCGGAAGAAAGAGGGTTCCAGAGGGCCGCAGTAGCGCACCTGAGAGCGCACGATGCCGTGTCCGTCTTTGTTCGATGGCTCGTAGCCAAAAGCCGCCGCTGTAACGAGGATGGCCGGCCGGAGTGTGCGTGATGGTTTCTGCTCCTTGACGACATCAGCGGGGTGTTGCTGTTCACGCACTTCGTGTGCAATGCGGCTCAGCCAGCACCGGACAGACGTGGTGGGATCTGCTCAACAGAGAAGTTGCCTCTGCCCCCCGTGGCCCTGTAACCCAGGCGGCACGTTGCATGCGCTTGCTTCCGTTCGTTGCAGCAAGTTCACGGAGCAGGTGTACACGCCTTTCCCGGCCACGCTGCGCTGTGGACACCTGGCGTCGGACGTGACCCTCTTCCCGCGGCCTGAGCCCGTCACCCCGGAGCACGAGTTCGATCCTCACCCCAAGTGCATCTCCTCTGGTACGGTGCAACAGGCATAGACAACGGCAAAGATGATCCTCTCGTTATAGCCCCCAACAGACTGTTGGGGGCAACCGCTCTTAGCGAGCACCTACGAAGGCCGCCACTGCGAAAGAAGTGCAACAAATTCTCGGGTCTTTCGGTAAAGTCACGTAGATAGGGTTTTGCTGAAGACGACCACTTGTGTTGCGATCGAAACGTCGTAGTTTTTTCGTTATTTTTTGTTATTTTTTGTTATTTTCTTTGAACCTGTCTACGTGACTTTACCGAAATACCCACGAATATGAAGTTCAACATACATACACATACAAGCTCTGTTAAAAAAACATATCTTGCACGAGAATGTTGTTTCAGGCGCATTGCCATAGCGGCCTCTAGCGACGTCGCTGGGTTATGACTGCCTCCCTTGCGCTGTGCACCGTGTCCATTAAGATATCATCCCTGCATAAGGAATTATAACTAAGGCAGCATTGTTTAGCTATATCGTTGAAATGTTGGCAAACTAATGCTTTAACATTTTAAAGCTTTGAACAAATAAAACTAAAACCTGAGTTGTATTCCAAAGAACTGAAAACAATCACAGCTGAGAGGCTGACAAGCAGTCGGGACTCCAGAACCTCGATGCGATGTGTGTCTCCCACACCAAGGCAGCTGATACAGTCTTCATACTGCAGCGTGTGTCTGTGGAGCTGTGGTGCAGCGGTTAGCGCGCTGCGCTAAGAACCCGGCAACCCAGTTCGATTCCGGCTCACGGCCACCAACATAAAGTGACAATTAGTTGAACCGGTCCTGGGCCTCCCCTAGGCCGACTCGGCCTCAAATGAGAACCTGGTGTGGTGTGTAAACATCGCCACTCGGGAGACAAAAGGTGGCCGGGCATGGTGCTGGCCACCCACCCCCTCGTGTGCCGTGCCAGCCTTCATAGATGCTCGCTAACAGCACTTGCCCCAACAGTCAGTTATCTTATTAAACTACATATTTAGTAATGGACAACACCTTTATGGACACATCGTACTACTCTGGTGAACTATTACGAATGAGGCGTGTGTGGTTGGGGAATAACTGGTAGAACACCGCGCTGTTCCCCCTGCCTCTTATACATCATCGTCGTCATCAATGCCTCATGCACAGTCCCTTTGCCTGATACAACATCATGTAACCTCTATTATTTCCCTTCTACGTGACTTTACCGAAAGAACCAATAATATAGAGTGAAACTACACGAGACAGCTGCATAAAGCGAGGCAAACCTGTACAGATCTTCTCATAGGTAACCGCGGTAATCTTTCCCCCGATGGATTTGCAGATCTGCTTTGTGACATCATCATTGAATGGCTGAAGCCAACAGCTACCATCCGTCCGCTTTTTATTTTCAACCTTGAGTCCATATAACAAACGCCACGGGAGTTCCCTCGTCATTGTTAAGCGGAGTCTAATTGGAGAAGACTACTCGGAGTCCGTTGCCCACGCTGCACATGCTAATTGGTGTGACTGGAAGCATCTGTCTTCATTGAACTATCGTGTATCCCTGCTTGCGCAGGTCACGCGCACGCATAGACCGGCCGACACTCGGTCTCAGCGCAGTAGCACCGCCGTTTGCTGCTCGGCACAATATCTTGGCGCGTGCGAGACACTCTTCACAGGAATCGTGCCCGCTCGCCAGAGCCGGCCCAGCCACTAAGCGACCCTTGCAATTGCAAAGGGCCCCGTGGCCAGCAGATGGCCCCCCTAGAGTCACTGCGAGCTAGTGGGTGAAAAAAATCATACATCAAAGGGGCCTCCAACCAAATTTTGCTTATGGCCCCCAAAGGTCTAGGGCCGGTTCTGCCGCTCGCCACGCTCGGCGGCGGTCGCCCAGCCGGGTGCGAGTTGCGCGTGGAGTGGAAGTCTCGCGGCGAAGACGCTCTAACGCTGCTGCCGCCACCACCCCACCACCCTCCCCGCACGCCATCTCTCGCGCACTCGTCTTCGTCTCGATCGTGCGCGAAGCCTTGGAGATTGTGGGGTTCCTGGAGCTGGCCGACGTGTCCAGTCCCCCCGTGCTCTCCCGTCACCTCGTGCTGCCCATCGCTCCGGCCAAAGGTGAGGGATGATGGCTCTGTATGAAATGAGGTGGTGGGTTCGAGCCTGACCCTGACGCCTGCTGTATATTTGGACTTTGCGGTGTCTCTCTCCCCGTTGTCGCGTGGATTTTTTTCCGGGTCCTCCGGTTTTTCCCTCCACATTTAGATTCAACGTGCGTTTAGAGTATTTGGTTGCAATGCATCATCACGTGATAAGCCACTTCGTTGAGCTATCATTTGTGGCCAGGTCGCTTCTGAAAAAGAGCTTTACAGCTCAGTGGGCCTTACCTGCTAAAATATTTTTTTATAATTCTAGTCCCGAGTGTTGTTCGGCATGATTTCGCAACATTTCGCTCCATGGGTTGGGAACTTCTTCAGGAACTGAAGTCAGGCCTTAAAAATAAGCTCAGAGCAACATGCAGCACACCGAGGAAAAACCTATACAGTCGAGGTAAAGAATTCAATTTTTGAAGAATGTATATGCTTTGGCGTGGAAGTGTACATGCATTAGATGGCAAGAATATATGTTTATGTCATATGGGGGTGTGATTATTGAGCTGCAAAAACGTATACATATGCTTGTGTGTCGAATATAATATACACCCCCTTTGTAAATTCACTTGTAGTTGAAGGCCTCCCCAAACCGTGACAATCATGGAGGTTATTCTTCTTGGTTCTTTCGGTAAAGTCACGTGGAAGGGAAATAATAAAATAATAACAATAAAACATTATAAAATAATTCTCAGGTATCATTATTTTATTATGTTTTATTTTTATTATTTTATTATTTCCCTTCTACGTGACTTTACCGAAAGAACCAAGAAGATGAATCCCTGCAGTCACGAAAGCTTTAAATCGAAATCATGGAGGTTGTTTGAGCATATTGCATCATTCTGGTCATTGTATACTGGTGAGGGCTGCTTCAGGTATCATTCGCCACCGATGTTAACCATGACCAGGAATACAGTTCCGTTGCACTAACCACTTGGAACACCGCTCCCAATGTATGATAAGTAATTTATGTAAAACGAGTCATCAGTGTGTACACACATTTGTGAGCCGCAGCAGTTATCCGATTATGAAGATGCACAAATGTATGCAGGGTTGTGTCTGTGTGTCACATATCGGAGGTCTGGTCTGGCAGAAAATGCTCGATCAGGAGTGGACATCTTCCGCGGTGGAAAATGTGTTGTGCCTATTTCACCTGCCTGCATAAGGATGAAGAATCTGCGAGATTAATCTAGCGATATGCATGTGCCAGAATTTGTCAGTGGAAATTTAACTTTCTGGCAAAGACACCTGGTAATTCATGAATCATCGCTTTCGCTTGTAAATCTTCCAGCACCTTAAAAGTCAGTGGATTACATGGCATGGGGGTCTTAGGAATGCTAAACCGGAATGTGATTCTTGAGTTGTCTCTTTTTTTTAACACTGTTAATCCACAGTGTGTGCTGCTCCATTGTTGTTGAGCTTGTAAAAGTTCGACAGCAAAATGAAACGCAACAATGCCAATCCGTCTTGCCCGTTGTGCACTCGTGTGGGTCATAGTGACCACAATAAGCCACAAGCGGTCCCATACTCAAAACGTTCCACGTGTAGATGTTGCTCACTCCAAAGGTTGCCAGTTCACACATTGCTTCCGACTTCACGACCAATGTGGATGGTGATGTCGTTGATTGGTTCCTGGGCTAATCAAGCAATTAACCCAGACTAAACTTCCTTCTGTTTAACACGTAGGCTTTCGCGACCAATATCATCCATAATAGAGGTATTTTTTGGGTTAGATAGCGTAAATATATAAGTGTCGTTAAACCCGCTACCACCCGACACAGCCAACTAGTAAGGGTACACACCCAGTTAGTTGTGTCGGGTGGTGGCGGGTTTAACGACACATTTCTATATTTACGCGATTTAGCCTAAAAAAAACCTATATTATGGATACACTTCCTTCTGTTGGTGAAATAAAAAAAAACCTGACGACGGGAATGTAATGATTCATGAATAATTCAAATTGATTCTTGTGATACACCACCGTCGTGCAATGCGTGCGTGAATCAATTATTTTCGATCCCAACAAATGTTCCGCACGTGTTTTCTTCGGGCCAATGGTCAGAATGAATAAGGCGAACATGACGAGGAGGTGGCACGGATGGGAGAGAACAAACAAGGCCATAGAAACAGAACAGTCGGGATGGGCCAGTACTAATGGGACGATACAAACAAAAAGCATTCATCAAAATCCATCAACAGCTCCTGAACTGTTGATGGCCGTTGCATAATGCACGAGGCTGAATGCACGTTGTCCGCGTTTCTGTGCGTGTTTCTCGAAAACCACGTGACGTTCCGGCCCTGCGCTGATGTTCTGCCACGATGATGGATTTTACCCGTCACGTGTGGGCTTGCTACAAACAAGCTCGGAAATAACTGATTCTTCAATTAAATCGTGACCAATTCATCAACTCGTGGGAAATAGTGCTTCGCTGGCCGAGGAGTTGTGTGGTTTTGGCGATTTGTTACGAAACCTCTCCGCCGATGTCTGCCAGTGGGTGTCGCACAGACACCAGCAATAGCGCTCCGAACGCCCCCCCCCCCCCCCCCCCCAGTGTTTTCCGACCGTTACGAGTGCTCGCATCGCCCCCTAGTGGAGTGCTTGTGCCACTAATTGTTTACCACTGACACGGGCAAGGTTATTTGGTGTCTCGGGGATTATTAACATGGCTTATTTGTACCGTGTTATGTGTTCTTTTATTTCGGCAGGTAAAGCTCACTGAGCCACATGGCTCTTTAGCAGAAGTGACTTGGCCACGCATGGCTTCTCATCACGTGTGCGCGTTTATAGTGGCAGCCAAATGATCTGACCGCAGGTTTGTAAATGTGGAGCGCACAACCGGAGGGGCCGGAGACAAAATGCAAGCAACCACAAGGAGAGAGAATGCCCGAACTGCCAATGTGCAGGCGTCGTGGTCGGGATCGAACCCACGAACTCCTGCATACCAGGCGATGGACCATACCTTGCATCTGTAAATAATCTGGGTGCGTACGTTTCAACCGTACCCAGTTCATTGGTCACAATTGAATCGGCCAAGAATCCACCCGGCATGCATTTGATGAAGGTTATAGCGGCACTGCAGTTATTAGCACACTGCGCTATAAACTCGGTGATCTGGGTTAGGGGCCGTCCATAAATGACGTCACGCACCTAGGGGGGGGGGGTCAGACATTTGTGACGATGTGTGACGAGGGGGGGGGGGGTTGAGAAATGTGAAGTCATATCAAAATGCGCAACTTTAAGTAAATATAGACAACACGTTCTACTTAATTAAATATACTTTTTATTAAATGTTTTCTCCTACAACATCAGAGTGCAGCGGCACATTAAACACGCACTACAATGACAATAGTTTAAAGCGATCTGAAGCATGTTTCATTTTTGAGCGGAGGGGGGGTCTGACTTTTTGTGACGCCGTGTGACGATGGGGGGGGGGGGTAAAACATCGTCCAAAATCGCGTGACGTCATTTATGGACGGCCCCTTATAACGCCACTGGTGAGAGATGTTTTTTTGTGAACTGGTCCTGGAATCCCCTTTCAGTAATCTGCACTCTTCAGCGTTTGGAAGCAACGGTCAATCACTCCGACAGCCACGGCATGGAGAGGCCTTCATCCAGCAATCGATCGACCAAGGGGCTGTTACTTAATCACACATTTGATGCGATATTGATATTATAAAGTACATCTTATTTTAGGGGAAAAAAACACATCCTAACCTGGTATACATCAAGAGTTCCGTGCAAAATATCAATACTCTCCCGTGATATTTTTTGGTTTGAGAGTTGTAAACAGTTTGAAAAACGAGGAGAGAAAGCAGTGTGGCATTATCCGTACTTTTTACGTGCAATGGAGCTGTTCGTTCACCGGGTAAGCGCGATGGGGTTGAAGGCCACTGGGCGGTGGAGTCAGGAGCATAACAAGGCTTTATCGCCCCCCTCTCCAAATCCGCCACCATCTCTCGCAATCTCGTGATATAATCATCTAGTGCCTGCACATTAGTTGAATTCATCACTCCATCTCCACGTTTGGGTGACGTTTCAGACGCGTTCCGTTCCTTGGCTCGTCTGGTGCAGTTGTTAAGAGGAATTGTGGTTTTAGAAAGACGTACAACCCCATCTCTAGGATGGGCTGGTTGCCGGCTTGGTTTACTCATCAAAGAGTCACCCTTTGTTGCGTGTGCGGGAATGGCGGTGGAGGGGTTAATGACCATTAACAATGTCCTGGGCCTCTCCTAGGTCGACTCAGCCTTAAATGAGTACCTGGTGCGGCGTGTGAATATCGGCACTAGAGAGACAAAGGTGGCTGAGCGTGGTTTTGACTACCCACCCTCTTGTGTGTCATGCCGGGTTTCATAGGTGCTAGCTTACAGTACTTGCCCCAGCAGTTTCTTGAATGCTATATAGGAGATGTTTGTATTTGTTCGTGTATTGAAATACTATCTTCTCATTCACTAACAACACTTTCCCTAATAGTCTCCCTAGATTACAGTATCACAATAGCTGGCTGGGTGAAACTCTGGAGAAACTCAACACCCTATTGGAACGTTGTACATTACATATTGTGTTCAAGTCTGCAAGAATATCAATAATCGGTTTAGATTTGTATTTACCGTTAACAGTGCCAGGAAATCGTGAGCCAAATTGTGTTTATTTTTTATTTCTTGACTTGATCTCCTGGAATGATCACTTAATTTTAATATTTTTACATTTTACTTTGTTTTTCTTTAATTTCAATTCATGAATCTAGAGCTATCTAACAAGCTGGGCGTTTGGTCAAGTATTGCTTCATGGATGTTTCTAGTTTTCGTGGTTGTACTCAGGTATGTTATCAGGCCGTACCACGTGGTGTTCCACACGATGTCCCGGCATTTCCCTCCATGCGCTGCGAGCTTCTTCAGGACATTGAAAAAAATAATTTCAGGAACTAACGAAGAAGTGAGCCAGCTCCCAGCACTTTTATCTGAAATTAG